TAATGACTTAATGGAAGGGACTTACAACAATTAAAACATTTATTTTAAGGGACAAAAGTGAGTTTACAGCCAAGACACATTCTTGGGCCGTAAACTCATATTCAAAGGGTTTTTGAGCCAATTAACCCTTCCAAATCATAGTTGGGACTTAGATATGACCTTTGGGCTTGCTAATCTAGACTTGGAACACTTCAAACATGATTTTTGAGTAATAAAAATGAGTTTACGGCCAATACATACTCTTGGGCCGTAAACTCCTCTTAAATGGTGATTTAGTGCCTTTAAACATGTCAAAATGCTTTCAAACTCAACCAATGGCTTTGTGGTAAATCCTAGATTCATCTAAAAATGATTTGGAGACCTTAAACACAACATATACCCAACATAAGTGAGTTTACGGCCAAAGAACTCCTCCTAGGCTGTAAACTCCTATAAGTTTGTAAAATGGTAATCTAAATTCATAACAATGCTTAGAAAATTAGTTTGAATCACATGTGATTGCCCTAAATAGTTCAAACTAACCATTCTTAACCATGGGTGAGTTTACGGCCGTAAACTCTAGGAGTGTGGCCGTAAACTCATGTTTTAAATGATGTAAATTCATTCCAAGTGTTCCAAGGCATTTTAGATAATCCATTCTAGCATCCCTATGTCCATTTGAGCCCTTAAATCATCAAAACCACACCCACATGAGTTTACGGCCGTAAACTCATGTATGTGTGTTTTCCATAGTTGTAAACTCTCTAAAATGTTTACTCTTGGGGAGTAAACTCAAGTCCCAAGTCCCTAGTGCCATTACACGTCCGAAGATGTCACCCGGGTCACTCCAAACCGAACTTCGTTTTGAGGTGTTTAACCTCATTGGAGTGTAATGTTCCATATGATTAGTGAATGTATCCCTAATTGTATATATATGGACATTATTTCATTTTACATAGGAACATCGCAAGTAATCAAACCCCGAACCAACGTCTAGCATTCAAAACCGACAGTTTCCGAGTCCGGTGAGTTCATACCCCTACCCTTTTTCACTGTTTTCACTGTTTTCAGGGGGAACACAAGCAAAGTACAAGGAAATTCTTGTACTCAAAACATGTTTTCAAATGTGTGTTTCATATTTCATATGCTTTTATAACTGATTACTACAACTGATAACAGATTGAACATACAGATCACGTAACATATATTTGTGAAATAGGTCTTTAAACTAGTATGTTTTACATATATTTCACAAATGGCTTTCCACATTTTATCAGTTAAAAGCCTGACATTAAAACATTTGAACATAATATATGTACACTGTTTTGTCCTCGGTAACACTCCACACACATACACGAGTGGAGGACTATCATATTATTACTAGTAAATTTGTTATTCCTGTATGATTGGAGACACGTCCTCGGAGAACACTCCACCGAGATACGCGAGTGGAGGACTACACCATAACCAGAATCTCTGGTATTTAGAGAGCGTGACTTGAGTGTATAGATCTATACGGGGCTGACTACCCCACACCTGGCTGCTAGCTACAGCCGAACCGAAATGGTTCAAGGGTGACGAAAGTCATAAGTATGTGGACGACTTATTGCCACATGTGGACTACTTATTGCCACAGGTTTAGTCTATTGTATGGTTATGGAACTCGCAATTAGGATAACAGAGATTTACTTATAGTAATAATGAATTACTTTATACATCTTTTACATCTTTCACTTACTGTAACTAACATTCAGGAAAGTACGGGACTTTCCTGGGGAAAACATGGAACCAATCACGATTACATCTTTTACATCTTTAACATCGTTTACATTAGAAACCAACATGCAGGAAAGCATGGGGCTTTCCTGGGTAACACTTACATAACTAGAAAGAGTAACAAACTGGATAACATTACATCTTTTAAATTGTAACATATAAGGAAAGTATGGGACTTTCCTGGTAACACATGATAAGTAAACAGAACAGTTTAACCAGTCAGATAACCAACTATACATTTTCACATGAGTAGACATGTTTTCAGTGTACAAACTTACTATACTTTACATTTGTGAAACAATAACCAACTTTTAAAAATTGGGATTTTCTTGGTGTTCATAACATTTCAGAAACATAAAGGAAACCGATACATTTTCATAAAACAAAACCGCTTATGAACTCACCAGCTTTATGCTGATTTTCAAACTGCTTGTGTTCTCAGGTCAGCGTTAGAACAGGTACCCGAAGATCCTTTTTGCTCGAAGACGGAGTACATGAAGATCCGTTTCATTTTGTTTATATATACTATGTATCACAACTGTACAAACTTTACTTTTGAAACAACTGTAAAACTTTCTTATGTAATGTAATGGTTGTTTTACTTTACTTACTATGTGCATTGGATTTGATACTCAACGTGGAGTCAACCCCGGAAATGTTTCCGCCTTCGGTTTTCGGGGTGTGACAGGATCCGGGAGTATGGATTAGGTAATGCTGTTAATTTTAGATCCGGAAGTATGGATCGTGTCGTTGTGATGATCGAATGGATGGGGTAAAATTGCTTATATGAGGTGAAATTGTATATATTGTGAGTTCTAAAGTGTGTGTGTGTATATATATATATATATATATATATATATATATATATATATATATATATATATATGTGTGTGTGTGTGTGGTATAACATTGTGGGATTGAAATCCCTATGTACTTACCAGGTTTTCCAACCCGACCCACTTACTTTATTTGAATCCCATATATCTATGCGAAGATACATTATACTGATAGATTAAAGGAGATGTAAATCAATAGTGTAAATGAATGTAAGGTCTATTTATGCTTATGTTTCTGTATTGACGATGATATCTCGATGTTTTAAATAAGAATACATTTCTTCGGAAATGCATTGATAACATCATTTTCATGTTTTCTGGGAACAAATTCTGCAATACTACTTTTCAAAAAGGATACTGTGATTTTTAAATAAGCATAAATAAAATTTTAAAATAACCGTGAATTTGGGGATGTCACAGTTTGTATCAAAGCATTAGTTTAAGTGAACTAGGATTTTTAGGACGTTTCTAGACTTAAACTTAGAATGCTCAACGATGATTATGAGATCAGTGGTTGTTATATTTTGGATGGCCTGAATAGACACGAGCACTATATTATTTTAGGAATGATGCCTAAAATGATTTTATATGCTAAATAATTTATGTTATAGCTATAAAGATGCCTTATATGCTATTATTTGATCGGATCTATGGTCTATTGCCGACCGGATCTGGAAATGTTATGTTTTCAGATTTCTAAACGTGTTTAATTACGGTATTAGAACTGGTATGTAACTTTTCGGATTGCTAAGGAGATTTAGACATCTAACGCAAATAAAGCCTTCCTATATTAATTCTCGTCATTGCACACCAAACGTCTGATTTGGTGTATAGATCGACATGGTAAAAACTCAAAGCAGATTGGGAAACGATAACCCACAGCCAAAGCCACGAGTGATTAAGCATGCACCATAGGTAGCAACTGCACCCGAGCCAATCACAATGGCATGAGTACAGGCAATGATAAAAATGATGTTGGATCGTAGATGGAATAGACAAGGCTTCTACTTCAACAAAATAGGGATGAACCTACCGTGCATGTTGAGCAGCCTGAACTGAACATAGAATAGTCGCAGGAAGGAAACTACAGTTGTATTGTGAGTCAAGTTGAACCACAAGTTATTAGTAGAAATAACAAATATAGAGGAATTGAAAGGAACAAATGCAAGTATAAAGACTTTACGACTTGCAAACCATCAACTTTTACTGGGAAAGAATATATGATCGAAGTTATGGACTGGATCTTTGAAATGGAGCTAGCTTTCATAACATGTGGTTGCAAGGGCAAGCTACAAACTACTTATACTGTGTGTCAGTTTAGGGGTGGGGCCATTCGTTGGTGGAACACTTTGGGAAATATCAAAAGCCCCAATGAGCCACTACAACTGACATGGACAAAACTCTTGGTACACTTTAAACACAAGTTCTGATCAACCCAAAACATGCTAGAGCTGGAGAACCACTTCCTAATGTTGAAAAATATAAATATGTCCATCAATGAGTATACTAATGTCTTCACAGACAAGTTGGAGTTTTCTTTGCACATCGTCCCTGAAGAGTTGACAAAAACTGATTGGTATACAAAGGGACTACCATGGGAGTACATTGTGCCAGTATGCCAGACACCTACTCTTGAGGCGGCCATCTGGGTTGCTAAGTCTATTGAAGTAATGATCAAAGGAATAACCGCCAAGAAGGTTGAAGTTGTCGAGAAGAGACTTTTAATTATATATATATATATATATATATATATATATATATATATATATATATATATATATATATATATATATATATATATATATATATATATATATATATATAAGGGGTAAATAGCAATTTCCAGAAACTGTTTTAATTAGATATATTGGCTTAAAGGTGGATTCTGTTTATATGGTTATACCCGAGTGGTCAATTGTTTCAAAAATATAATATATTCATATGTTTGATAACATCCAACGCAGCTGTGTATCCATAGCTTTTTTGCTCGATTTAAACATAGAACTGCTCGAATTTTTGAATGCGTTTTAACCCTTACCCTTAGTAACCTTCCCTTGGACCATTTGAATCGCTTCTCCCTCCCTCTTAGCTACCAAACCCGAGAGAAAAAGACTGAAAAATGAGCGAGGTCGGCTAGGGTTTTAGTGGGGAAGAAGACATTTCAAGCTCAACATAAACCAAATATACTACTGAAATTTTTGTAAGGGTATCATGGGATACTCCAGGCTCCAATGTGGATCCGCCTATGGGTAAGGGGCCGAGTAGGAAGGGCCGGCCGAGTAATCGACCAACTCGATGAATTTTACAACATTACACGTGACAAAATCAAGTGCAATGGTTAGATTCACGAACGAAGATAGATAAGAAAAGAGCTCACGATGTGAAAAGAGCTCATGATGTAAAGATCACCGCATGCATACAAAAATTAGTGAGCTTTTGCAATATTTCTATCATATAACACAAATGAGAATACCTAAGTACTCGAAAGCAAGTTCTAGTTAAGCTTTCATATAAATTTAAGTAGGATTTATGGATAAAAGTTATTTCGTACATGACCCAATTAACTATTGCTAAAAAATTGTGATGATACAAAGAAACTTTAGAACAAATTAAATCAAAAACAAATTCGATTGTGCTTGATTGGCTTCAAAGTCGAAGGTAACCTCCTCTTTCTCCGCCTCCCATAGTTCTTTTATGGAAAGATCTCCGATTAAAAGACCAATTTCTTTTCAACTCTCTTTGTCTTCTCCATACCATTAATCGGCTATATAAAAATGGAAACAAGAAACATAAAAGCACAAAAACTAATGTAGCCACACAAAGCATCATAACATTTCTGAACCCGATTTTCAGCTTCGGATCTTTTTGTTGTGTCCAAGGTACACCTCCCACATTCATTCCAAACACTGTCAAGAAAATTTCATACCATCACAATCTTTTTACAAAAATAATTAATGGGGGAACAAAAAGATACAATTTTTATGAACTTTTCTTGAAAATAATCATCGGGTGAAGAAAAATATACAATTTTTATGAACTTTTCTTAAAAATAATCAATGGGGGAGCAAAAAGATACAATTTTTATGAATTTCTCTAGAAAATAATTAATGGGGGAACAAACAGATACAACTTTTATGAATTTTTCTTGGAAAATTAGTGAGGGAACAAAAAGTTACAATTTTTATAAACTTTTCTTGAAAATATTTAAAGGGTAACAAAAAGATACAATTTGTATGAACTTTCTTGAAAATAGTTAATGAGGGAAGAAACATATACAACTTTTATGAACATTTCTTGAAAATAGTTAAAGGAGGGTACAAAAAGATACCATTTATATGAACATTTCTTGAAAATAATTAAAGGAGGGTAAAAAAAGATACAATTTCTTATGATCTTTTCTTGAAAACAATTATCTAGGGAACAAAAAGATACAATTTTTATGAACTTTTGATGAAAATAATTACTGGGAGGAACAAAAAGATACAATTTTTATACTAAAATGGAGACTCATTGAAGAATCTAACCTCCTGTGATGATGGATAGAGGAAGGAAGATGATAGAGAGGAAAGATAGACAATATAGTTTTCTGTTGATTTGTTCGGCCTGCCAGCTGTCAAGTCCAGCCTGGACAGCTTTGACTCGGTTGCTTATGAAGCCAACATTGTCTTTTAGTCTTCTGAGTCGCCCAATTAACTCTTCAAGTGAATTGATGTCTTCATTAGCAAACCAACTTTTTGTTGAACACTTTTCTTTCACTCTTGGGAACACTTGTTCCCCATGTGCAATCACCTACATTCATCCAAGGATACGAGATTTTAGAATGTTATGGAAAAAATTGAATTATTTTGTTATTTAATATTGCTTTCATTTCTTCCATTGTGCTTTGAAAATTATACCCGATTACAACAATGTAACAAATTGAAAGTACAAAATTGTAATAGAAGCGATTTTTTTTCCATAAACAATGTCAAGAAAAAAATAAAAAAACTTTCTTCTATATTCATGTTACAAGTTGACTTTCCAAAGTCAAAGTTTCTATAATGGAAAGAATCAAAGAATGCGAACTACCTGCAATAGGCGTTGCAAATCTAGAAGCATTTTTGGAAATCGTCTATCATTCAACAATTGCTTCTTCAAAGAAAAACCACCTAAAAATCAGAAATTCCTTAATTAACCATAACTAAAAAAAAAAAAAAAAAGAAAATTGTTTATCCAATTGATTTTGTATCAATGATTCAAGATTCGATTTTACCTTTATCCAAATCAAGTTCAACAGAATCAAGCCCAATCTCAAGATTAGTAACAACATCTTCAAGATGATCCACATGTGTATCAATAACATGAACAACAAGATTCGATACAGATCTAGGAACAGGATTATCAGCCTCCTCTGAATGATTCATAGTCAACAAAAAGTCAAGAACATGTTCCTTAATCACAATCCCACCTCTATCAACCATCTCATCCCCAAATTTAGGACTCGGGCTTTCAACACTTGGAATCTCACTAAGCAAAGATTGACCCACAGGTGAAAACCCCAATCTGGGTACCCGACCCAATGACACAGTAATCACCGAATTCTCTGTAATTCTAGCAGCTAATCGAAATGTAAACTTGCTAGAAGCTGGACCAGGTGAATTAACCCTAAATACAAGAGCTCCATCAACATGCGCACAATAGGGTCCATTGCTAACTAAAGAAAGAATGTCTTGAAGCTTTAATGGTGGACAAAGAACATCGATTAGGTATTGTGCTGATTGAGAAAGCTTTTGATTCCCTTTCGGAAGTTCGACATGATACCAACAGAATTTTTTGCCATTACCCTCGATTAAATCCCAATCTTTATCACAGTATTCACCAAATCCGTCGAAGATGTATGCTTTTAGTCTAACCTGACCAGGGTAACGAGTTCGAAAGGGGCGCCTCAGAAGGTGATGATCGCGAGTGGGTGATGTTGCGTCGGTTTCCTCTTCGTTCATATCGTCGCTACCCATCTACAATGTGATGAACTTTGTGTTTGGATATCAGAGCAATCGTTCAGGTGTTTGTTTGAGGAGAAAATGAAATGGATTGAAACGACAGCAATCGATCATTCTTTGAACATATAAACAGTCGAGAATTCGAATCAATTCATCAAACCCAACAAGAAATTAGCAGTTGGATTAGAGGTTAAAACCATATTGATTTAGCATTGATGCAATATGAACTCAACCCAGAAAGTGTATTCAAGAATCAAGATCATCAGAAGTTTGAAAGTATGAGACCCATAAAGAAAACTTTACCTCTTAAAGCCGACGACTTTTTTCTGTGAACTAGATTATATGAAGCTAAAGCAATGTTATAGATTACAATCTTAGAACTTGAAATTACCAAAAAGAAAGCATTAATCTGAAGATTAAATTTTAAAAAATGATGTGGGACGGAGGACACGAGAAGAAAAATGAGGTAAACGGATAACACCCAAGCAATTTGGGAAGACCATGGACATCAGCTGTCTTCGCATAATCGAGCAGCTTCCACGAAAGTTCATATTTTCCAGATTTGAATAATTTTATAATATGTCTGCATCGGAAACAAATACGGAGTAGTATATATTAAATAATTTAATGCTATTTTTATACACGAAACAACTGATAATTGTATGAATACATTAAGCAAAACCAGTGAAGAGGGCATCCGATTTCTGACAATGATTTTTTTAACTATATTTAGTATGGAATAAAGATTCGTAAGAATATTTTCAAGATCTTAGTTTTAAATTTCATAACATTGAAATAAATACAAGAAAAAATTATACATAATTATTTACTAGTTTATAACTTGTGGGAACGATGGATGGTTACAAAATTAATTAAATTTTTATATTAAAAATTTAAAGTTATTAATCAATTATTTTAAATAAATTATTAATTAAGAGATTTTTTTAATTATATAAAATTGTAATCATTAAGTTAAATAAATATATGAAATTATATCACTTTATAATTTATATTAATTTTATTTTAATTTTTATTTTAATGTTATTAATTTAATGTAGATAGAGTGAAAATTTAAAATGAATAATTAATAGGTTGACAAGTTGCAAGTATTAATTATGAGACATAATAAGTTGAAACATGATAAAAGAATAATAAATAATTAAGAATTCTAATAAGGTGATACATGTCAAAAGAAGAATAAAACTACTTTTTTTTTTATTAAAATAAGGATTTTTATAAATCTGATCCATCGTGATTTCTAAAATTTTCAGGATTGGTCATCGTCCACGTTAGAAACTTTTTTACCCTGTTTTTATTTTATCTTTAATTTTGTTTAAATACAATTTATCAAAAAAGCAAAAATAAAAGGAAATAAAAAAACATCCCTCCCATATCTAGGGATGGCAATCATCGACCAAATCCATAACTCAACACCGACCTAACACGAAAATAAACGGATTTGAGTTGAGATTTTTGACCCGCCTACCCACCAACCCGCCAACCCATTTATTTCATGGGTTGGATTGGGTTACCTGTTTGGGTTTGCGGGTCAACCCATCAACCCGATTATACATATATATATATATATATATATATATATATATATATATATATATATATATATATATATATTATGTTTAAAACATATATGTAATTATTTATCACTTTTAAATATTTGATTATCATTTAATTATTTTCCGATTCCAAAACTGCAAAACATCTTCGAGTCGACTTAGTGTGCCCTAGCCCCTAAGAAGCCCCTAATCAAAAAAATTCAGTTTTCAGTCTTCAAACTCACAACTCCGTGTCTCCCGTCTCCATCGACTCATCGATTGCCGCAGTGTCACACGCACACCAGTCGTCTTCTCATCCTACGACTGTCACACACCACTCATCGTTGTCATTCTTGTTTATGACTTTATGTTGAATATTTAAAACTTCATGACTTCATTTTATTTGTATTTTTTAATTTCATTTTAAAATGTGTTGCTTAGTGAACGGGTTATATGGGTTGAGTTCGACACACTGACCAACAAACCCACGAACCCATATACTTATACGGGTTATATAGGTTGGGTTGGGTTGATGTTTTCAACCCGCCAACCCACCAATCCATATATTATATGGGTTGGCTTGGGTCAATATGTTTCGACCCGTCAACCCGCCAATCCGTGACCCGCCAACCCGAACACAACCTAATTGTCAGGCCTACAAATATTCGATACCTCCACCCGTACTCCCTTCTCCATCCTTTACACTTTCTCTCGAATTCCTCTTGATTTCAATGTTACATCCAAATTTTCAAATCAATTTTTTTTTCATTTTTAAATTCATAGCAAAATAGTTTTCAAAAAACCAACCCAAGAAAAATCATATTGTCAAATAGAATTCTACACGTGATCCAAAATGTCCAAAAATAAAACCCCCCTGCAAATGTGTCAAATCAAGCATTCTTCTTCCCGCGATGGTTAAAAATATCTGAAACACATTTAATAAACAACTATAAGCTCACAACTTAGTGAGTTTCCCAAAATATCATATCCAACACAACACATAAAACAACTACGAATTATCAGCAACATTAGAGACTACCCGAAGTCTCAAAGGGCAAACAACACGCCCCGTGGGTTACCAATAACCCCGGAGACTATCTAAAGTGTCAACACATATAAACAACACATTCACAGTAATAGCACTTAGACCCAGCTGGTCATCACATGTATGTATATGTGTGTGTGTGTGTATATATATATATATATATATATGTGTGTGTGTGTGTGTGTATATATATATATATATATATATATATATATATATATATATATAACGCCCGTGTTTCTAGGCTAGGCATTAATGATGATGTAATAGTCTAGGTCAATCTTTGTTACTTATTTTTAAGTAATAAAGATGTATTATTTTAGTATTATGTGCTTATACTTAATTATTATTATTTAATTAATTAAGAATAAAAATTAGTGTCGAAAATAAATGTTAGATAAACCTTGTAGTGGTTGAAATAAGGATTCTGGATATATAAAGAATACTGAAATCTTAGTTATAATGAAGAAGTTATGACATGTCGAAGTTTCGCAACAGAACCAGCACGACGTTGTATGATGTAAAAAGTGAATTTACAATAATGTGATTTTTAGCCTTAGCAATCTAAATGAAAGTCGTAGTATACATTAAACCGAGAGTGTGCATAAAAGGAATGTCCAAATCTAACTTCGTATGAGGAAGTTATGAATTTTCTAAGATTTTGCATCTCAATATGCAGCCCGAAACTCGAATTTTAGATCGAGTGATTTTTAGCCGAAACAACCTACACGAGAATCGAATACCTTGTTGATAGTAGTTCAACAGTAATAAGACAGACGAAAACGGACGTCAGATGAAGAAGTTATGAATTTTTAACGGACTTTTCATGTCCTGACCTGTTAAAATTATAACTTTAAAAATAAATTCAAAATTAGCCAACGGAATCTAAATGAAAGTTGTAGAGCATAATTTCACCTACGCGTCGATATAAAGAATATAAAAAACGGAGTTCGTATGCGAAAGTTACGAACTTTTGAAGTTTTGGGCACAAACTTCGAGGCTGGTCCGACGGAGTATGCCCATCGTACCGAAGGAGTACGCCCAACGTACTTGTGTAAGTGATCTGTAGTCCATCACATACCTACTCCTTCGAATGAGAGACATATGTCGTAGCATTGACGCGTCCGAACTGATCCACTTCGTACGCCCAACGAAGAGATGTGCGAGGCAGTACACCACACATACCGAAGAATTATGCCCAACATACTAAGGAGCTTCGGCCTCCTATAAATAGGATTCGAAGCCAGCCGATTTTTGGTTACAAAATCTTACTTCTTTCACCTCCTACTTTCTTTTTACCTACACTAAATACCCCAAGCCTAGAGTATCATCCTAGCATCGTAAGCAAGCCCTAGAGAGCCCAAAGATCCCGAGAAAAGAGTTTTTCGAAACGAACATCTGCCCACATGAAGCCTGGTTTTTTTTAGAAAACATCACAGTTTCATCAGAAAATATTATTTTAAGAGACGAGGTGTTGTCCAATTATCGTTAAAACAAGTGAGTGTGTGGTCAGTTTCATCTTACATATAAATATGAAGTATTTTCTATATAATACGTGCTATGTGTATATATATTGTTTGTTTATTTGAGATAGATGTTGAAGGAAGTTTTTATACATGTTTAGAATGATTTAAACTTTATATGTAATTTTATCTACAAATATGTTGGGTATAACATGGGTAGATGAAATAGTTGATGTGTGTTAAAATGGTGAGAGACCTCTATGTTGTTGTTGTTGTTGTTGTCGTCATCTAGCACAGTATAGATAACGACCACGAACCTTTCTAGACAGTCCAGTGGAATGCTAGCAGGCTCGAAAACTGTAGGTGTTGGTGAACTATATGTTCGTTGGTGTACTCCATCCCCTCATGGTTGCCTTAAGGACATGTATGGATGAGGAATCCCCTCAGCTGGAAAGTCCATCCCAATGATAATCCTTAGACCAGGTCCCTTGTGATAGGTGTTTAGGGACGTAAAGTGAGGATAACGGGAATGGGTAATCAGGGATATTGTTGGGTGATGAAATTAATAAATTTATTGTTGGTTGATGAAATTAATAAATTTATTTATTGTGGGTTGAAAACCCTATATGCTCACCAGACTCCCAAGTCTGACCCACTCAGCTTTTTATATTACAGGTAGTGGACCTAGAGCATAGTTGGATGATGAAGAGGGATTTTTGGATTATACACCATTAGATGTAAATATCTGTTGTAAGGTTTATAATATACTGTTTATGCTTTTGGTCTGTATCGATGTGGACATCCCGAGTTTTGTAATGAAAAGAAAAATACATTTCTTTAAGAAATGTTTTGATAATTTTTTATCATATTTTGTTTTGGGACAAGTTCCACATACTTTTATCGGAGAGATTAGTCTAATTTTATTTTAAAACATAAACTAAATCGGTCTTTTCTAGTCAAGAAATTGGAGATGTCACAATATATACAACTATTCTACCACACATGTAAGAACAAGTGAGGAGACTCACCTGTCACTGATGACTGATAAAACTCACACTCGAACTGTCTGAACCAAACTCCGCCTAAATAATTACACTAATTAACCTTAATTAATAATTAACATATTTTCACACACACTTCTAAATCCAAGTCAAGTCTAGTCCACACACTTAGAGTAAAAGACCATTATACCCCTCACCATCCACTTAATACTCAAATGGAAAATATCCACAAAAGTCAACTTAGTCAGTACGTTCAACGTACCTGACCCTATGTTGGGTGTAGATCGCATCACCAAGAAACGGGCTCACATAAGACTATGTGGGGCGTAGCTAAGCATACACGCAGCATACGCATGTTGCTCCCAACATCTTCATGCAAAATGTATTAATCCTTAAGACATTCATTCTAAACATAGATCTGGCCCCTAAATAAGGTCTTGATGCATAAATATCTGACTTTAAGCCCTTGCATGGCTATAAGCAGCTAAAACTCAAAACCCATAACTTTTACTTCATAAAACATCCACAACTCATTCATGAAAGAAAAGAAGTGACCAAGCTAGCATTTTTATGACTCAAGACACTCTGGAATGTCTGAAAGGACAACTTAATAACTTACGAGTATTCCCTAGTCACAAAGATCCAAGCTTGGGATAAAAAGAACCAAAATGCAAGACTAAAAAGATC